CCCAAAACCCCTTCTGGTATAATCCGAGAAGTTAGTGTTATTTTGGAATAGTTAAATAGAAGGTAAATTATCTTTATATCCAATCCGATATTAAATTAAATATCACGAGATTTCTATTAAATTATTGGCTAGCTTTTGATTATGTCCATTAGCTTATGAATAAATAGTGAGCCCACTTTTTAAAGTTTAACAATTTAAATTTTCAAACACAAACTAAAACTAAGTAAAATGGCCGGAAAAGGAAAAGGTGGAAGAGGTAAATCCTCAGGATCAAGACCAGTCTCAAGATCATCCAAGGCTGGACTTCAATTCCCAGTCGGAAGAATCGCAAGATTCCTCAAGCAAGGCAGATACTCAGAGAGAGTTGGTGCTGGTGCCCCAGTCTACCTCGCTGCCGTCCTCGAGTACCTCGCTGCTGAGGTCCTCGAACTCGCTGGAAACGCTGCCAAGGACAACAAAAAGACCAGAATTGTACCAAGACACATTCAACTCGCCATCAGAAACGACGAGGAGCTCAACAAGCTTATGTCAAACACCACCATTGCCAGCGGTGGTGTCCTCCCCAACATTCACGTATTCCTCCTCCCAAGAAAGGGAAAGGGTGAGAAGGGAGATGCCCAAGAATGAGTTCATCGCCTATTGTGCTAAGCCACACACCTTAATTGATATGTGTAATGCCTAATTTATAAAATAAATTCAAAACAAACAATTCTCACTTCTCACTCTTAACTCACTATTTCACCTCAATTTTATTTCTATCATTAATAGTTTATGAGAATAATTCATTTCCCTCCCTTTTTATTTGTACCTCCATTAGATTTTAAATTCAATCAATCATCCAATTAAAACTGCTTATAATTTAACTTTAATATTCACAGAAAATAAATGACTGAGATAGAAGATCAATTAGAGTTCATCATGATTATTCTCTTTGATTATCATTACACATGAGATTATGAGGCAAATATTAATGGAATTAAGATAGGCTAATAAGAGTGATGCTAATTCATACAAAATAAGAGATTAAATGATAGATCATGAGTTGATTTCGAAAATGATTCAACGTAATGGAGAGATTGGTGTGGGAATGTTTTCATTGGTGATGCGCAGTCTTTCAAATTCTCTGGCTGTACCTGTGACACTTGTTCTATTGAGTCTCTAATTAGAATACTCTGGCTGCATTTGATTTCTCTTGATCCGCAGACTCTGCTACTCGCACAGCTAATTGACACTGAAGTCAACAACACATTTCGAGAGCTTTTTAAGTCTGGTTTTGGATATTTTTTTGAGGAACTGCGACCTCTTATCTAACTCTTAAGAGTTTTGAATTTTTTCCTGCAATACCTCAACTACATCTACAACTGCAGACTAGGCCTAGTTATGCTTTTTGTCAGTAGTCTTTGAATCAACTTAATTAATCTTTGGTGTGCTCTTGACTTTTTGAATCTTAGAAAGCAGTTTGGCATTGTTCATTATGTGAATCTTACATTTTTCACATTCAGTTACTATTGCCTGTGATTTTTGTTGGAGCTGTAACTTAATACTCTTGTTTTCCTTTTACTAGAACTACATCAGCCTCTCTATTTATACTTCATTTGCATTAACTAAGTTCTGCAACTCCAAGATCTTTTTCTAGAGCTCTTCATTCTTAAGCTACTCCTTGGCAATAGCAGTGAGATACCTCTCTTCCTATTCCTTCAGCTTGGTTTTCACTCTTTCATTTTTAGTAACTTTATAGCTATCATACTGATCCTGAACCTTTTTTACCTCATTTGAGTATTTTTACTCAATTCTTGATAATTCATCCTTAAGTACCTGTATATCCTGTTTATTCTTTTCTTTCTCATGGTCTCTTCTACGGTAATAACGCTCCTTGTACTCATTCATCTTTTCACGCTCTGCTCTTAAAAGTTGATCAAGTCTAGCAACTTCCTACTTTAAGAAAGCTACTTCACTAGGATTGTCTTAGTTTTTATGGATCTAAAATTATTGAGTAAGTTGTTGCTCTGAGCATGTAGTATGAAGGATAGTCTTACTCTGACACATGTCAATGTCGAACATATTTATATCAGCTTTGATAATCTCCTCCCTGGACTATTTGTTTACTAGGAACGAAGGAGTTTATTTTAAAAAGGAATTCGCATTAACAGGCGTTTGAGGCATCTCGAAATTGTTGTCATTATTAAGTTAATTTAGCTTTATTACTCTTGGCTGTAATCTCTCAGCAGACTTGGAATAATTCATTTCTGCTACAGGGAAGAACTTATTTAGCAATTCTCTACCTCTTGAGTGCTCATTCTAAGGTTCTTAGTTGTTTGGAAATAGCTAGCTAATGTCCTACTTTAGATTTTTTATTTTTTCATTAATTGTTTTAGAAAAAGATTAAGAGGATGATTTCTCAAAAGACTTCGAGTGAGAGTCATTGATATTAGTTTACTGAATATCCTCAATCTTAGTATCTTATTTGCTGATGTAATTTTGAATTAGGGCCTTATGCTTTTATTCAGTAGAAATTACTGATTGCTAGGTGACCTTCAATATTCTTGGTTATTATTAAATGAGCTAATTTCTTTAGGTATCGATTAATTAAGTTTGCTGGGTAACTCTTTCATCAATCTTTTAAATCTTTAAGCTTAAATTATTCATCGATTGATTTAATTATTACTTGTCAGAATTCTAATTCATGATTGATTTGGTCTACGATCTAGGCTAGGGTTGTGTTAAGATATTGTTTAGTATTTTGATTTCAGTTTATTTCTCCCTAAGTGCACTATCAAATGTCTTATTAAGCAAGTTATAGTTAGCTCTAGCAGAAGCATATTGCATCTCAGTCATCTTTTATCTCTATGATTCGAATCTCGCTTTCTAATTTTCAAGCTACGTTTTCAAACTCTCAAACTTCTCCTTGTCATAGCTTGCATTTCTACTACTATAATACTAACTCGTCTTGTCAGTAAAAACCTATGATTTGTGGTCATTCTGCTGGTTTTGGTAATCTTTTACCTCAACGAAATTCAGATTAATATTTATTTCCTAAGGAGGCTGTTCAAACGACCTATTGTTGCAGTCTATCTCTGGGTTCAGATTTTGACTATCACTGAGGGATTTATTAGTCTTTAGATAAGTTGAATCAATAAAATTCTCATTAGTCGATTTTCACTGTAATTACATTATCGATGACTATGCATCTCCTGCGTTATCTCTTATACTTGTTTTATCTACACTAATTGCAATTATGGAATCATGCTGTGGTGGAGTAACCAATCCTCTGAAATTATATCTATTGCTCTGTTGCTATGAATTTTACATTTTGATGTAGTTGTTCTAGGAATTATCCTAATAAGTAAATGTTTTGTTTATAAGATTTTTATTGCTTTTATATGCATTATATTTTGGTATGTTAAGCATTATATTCGTTTTTTAGTTTTCATCACTTAAGTCTATTGGTTTAACGGACTTATTGCTTTGGTATCCATTTTGTGATGTCAGTGATAGTATTGATCATGCATAGACGTCTGTTTTGTTTCTACTACTAATTAATTATTAAGTTCCATTGAGAAAATTAGATAAGTTATTATTGTTAGTTTCCATTGTAAATTTATATTTAGATTCGTTAACTTATATTATATTTCTCATCATTACAATTTCGATTGTCAGAAATCTCACTTCATTTCTTTTAGGGGTTTTGGGGTTTTGGGGTTTTGGGGTTTTGGGGTTTTGGGG